GGATAAGGGATAAAACGCTTTTAAATTGGCGATATAAAACGCAACGCGAGCATCGGAAGCATAATCTGCGGTGAGGAAGTAGTTATTAGTCAGTAACGAAACGATATTTTATAATCTTTGTCATTTAATCTAATCCTCGAAATAAATTATGTGAGTGAAATTTCCAGCGATAAATAGTGTACAAATCAATAGCGTTTTGTCCCTATATTCATCGCGATCGAGTCTTGGAAACCGATAACGCGAAAGTAATAACACGCACGGAGCGACTCTCGCTACTGCCTGCCGGCTCGACGTTCGGCGAGCGAGTGATATTAATAAGTCCGCAGAATGATACACAAAACGTAGTAACAGTTACGGAACAAAAAAGGCAACGAATTCTCAACGTTCATTGTTTTTCTCTCGGTGCGGTATTGTACGACGTTACGCGGGCCAATGTTTACCTGAAGGGTCGCGTTCTCATTCTCTCGCCGAACGTCGAGCCGGCAGGCAGTGGCGAGAGTCGCTCCGTGCGTAGTATTACTTTTACATTATCGGTTTCCAAGACTTGATCGCGATGAAAGGAAGGATAAAACGCTATTGATTTGTACACCTTTATCTCAGTAACAAGTAACGTTCCTCAATTATTAAGTTTCTACAACTTGTAATGAGAAACGAATTGCGTGTTGAGGCGACGGCTCTTTATCAACGTATACATAGATATTTCACGCGACTAACTCATCTAAATTATGAACCGTTGTACTTTGACGTGGTTACATCTCATTTACGCACCGCGCTTTTAATTGTCTATCGATTTCGTGTAATCTGTTCCATTTTTGGGAAAAGAGAGAAATTTTTACGATTTCGGCGTTCGCGCTGTAATTCGCTTTGTCGTTCTTCGCAACTCGAACGGGCAAGAAGTAAAGTCGCTTATCGCACGTCGTTACACTCTGTAAACGTAATCGGAAAATTATCTCGATTAACTGTTGCAATTAATAACAATTATTTATCGCTGGAAACTTTGCTCACATAATTTATTTCGAGGATTAGATTGAAGGACTAAGATTGTAAAATATCGTTTCGTTGCGGACTAATAACTACTTCTTTACCGCGGATTATGCCTCCGATGCTCGCGTTGCGTTTTATATCGTCAATTCAATAGTGATTTATCCATTTCCTATTCTTCCGAATCAAAAATGCAAGTTGTTGGTGATATTTCGTGCGTTTCGCGGTATCTCACATCGCGTACGGGAGTGTCCGAAATATCGCGCGATCGATGATTTCGCGAGTGAGTGTTGTGTAAGTGCGACAAGGAAATCTGAGAGGAGGAGCAGGCCGAGGAGGCATCGGGCAACAGCGGAGAAATCGGTGAGGTGAGTGTCTTACATATTTACGTTATTTGCTACTTGTGCAAAATAAAGCATCTGTTCTGTGTTTTTATTTTATTTATTCAAATGATTCGAGAACGAGGATTCGAATAAGTGTTAGAGACAAAACCATACGTATAAAATTTTGTGAGTTTATATTTAAAAGGAAGACTTTCAGTATTCTATATAATTATTTTTATAAATTATTTTTTGAATATAAAATAACCTATTTTTTTAATGTAAAATATGAAGTATATTTAGTACAATAATTTTGATTTTACACAATTCGTCTATAATAATCATACACATATTTGTATCTTTACAGTTTAACACATATACCTAGTTAACGATGTACAACTCTGCTGTTGCGAATCGTCTCAGTGAGTGATAAATTACTATTTATTTTAAATTGACGTTGCGCATACAATTACTTCTTTGCTTGTATACAAATTCTTAAGAATATACAATGCCCAGCCACAAACTGCGCGCGCGAATCGCGCGTTTTGACATCTCTAGTTGATGTAAATTTCATGTATAAATATAATATATTCACAAATAAGAAATTACTATTGAATGTATTAGAAAATACACTTTATGAGTATAACGTAATGAAAAGATGATTGTGAAAAATACATTAATCTTTTTAATTAGAACTGTTTCATTTACGAATATATAAATGCAAGATATATAGTAAAGAGAAATAATTATTAGCATTTAATTGAATTTACTTCTTTAAAAGAAATACAATTTTATTTTATCTATTTTTTATATACACATGTATATTGATCGATATATAAGAAATTTTTTTTACTCATCGTGGCACAGCTACGAATGAGAACAGTTACATTCGCAAATAGTTACCGTAGATTTGTATACGAAAAGCAGATATCGTATTGTTAGTTTTGTCAAAGATAAGTTAGCTAATAAGAGGAGGATTAGATAAGATAGCTTTGATGTTGGAAAAATATCGATCAGTCGATAATATATCAAGTACAGTAATTTGTATTGTTTACTTTGCAATACGCAATTTTTTGGCTAAATACTTTTCGAACGTGTATTTAAGACAAAGCTGAAAAAAATTGACTATAAACAGGCCTTATTAGTGTGCACTCAGTGCGCACCAGTGCGAGCAATCGAATTCGGTATAAGATCACGATAATCCGGCACGGTTCTTCCGCAACAGTCAGCGGAATGAACAAAACTGTCACATAAATCATAGATGTTCAGTACTGGCTGCGAATATTAGAATACAGCCTCTATATGCGATGAACATAGTGAACAAGCAATAGCGAAGCTCTCGCCCATGAATTTTATACTGCTAACAATAATCGATTAAAGTACAACATAGCACTCTTTTCGGAGTTGGAGAATCAATCCAAGTAAATAGTGAAAAACGACACTCTTTCAAAAAGTGAAATTTCACTCCTTTCGGACCGGCAGTATTTCCATTATTTCTTCGAGTAAAATCTCGCTCCAAGGGTGAGATTCCGCTCCAACAAATTTAGAGAATCAATCTAAGTAAATAGTGAAGGAAACGGCACTCTTTCAAAAAGTGAAATTTCACTCCTTTCGGACCGGCAGTATTTTCATTATTTCCTCGAGTAAAGTCCCACTTCAAAAGGGCGAGATTTCGCTCCAGAAAGTTTAGAGAGTACTTCGAAAACGCGACATTCATCAACGGCGACGCAATTGACATCGAGATCAATCAATTTCTTCGTGAGGATTTTTGTCCAAAGTGACGTATATTTAATCGCGATCGCGTCGTGTGTGCGCCGAAGTAGTAAGGACAATAAATTATTCGTACATCGACGACTTCCTTGTTTGCTGTTCAACGTCAGAATCCGGCGAATACGACGTATGACACGGCTCTTTCCCGTACAATTGGTCTCGCACGGTTGGTTTAAATTCGCATGACGTGCGTCGCCTTTTTGGCTTTTCGCTGCGCGAACGAGCGGTTTATATCAGTTTTACTCGCGCGAACGCGACGCGGATTGGCCGCGCAAATAACGAATTGGCCGGACACCTTGCTCCCGCGTGTCCGTAATATCGAGCTTTCATCTCGGGGAAGTTTATTCTTGTCCGAGTTACGCCAATTTCCTCTCGCGCCACGACGCGTCGCATGGCACGTCGGTCCCCACCGGGTTAATAGTAAATTCCCGGAGCGATTGACGATATTTCGAGATATCTGCCGCGTATCTCTCGGTCCTCGTCGCGCAGGTCTCTCCCTCCCCGCCTCCTCCTACGGAGGTGCATTCAAAAACAGCCCCGGCACGAGATTGGATAATCTCGACATCGCCCGGCGTGTCTTGGCGACGTCAATGCGGAGGCTTCATTCATCGTTCCCCGTATATTTTTGATTTCGCCCTGCCGCCCCCCCCCCTCCCCCCTCCCCCCCTTCCGTCGCCCTCGGTTCCCTCTTACGTCCACAGGCCTCACTTGTTGCTGCACTGACGCATCGTCTATATATAGCCTCCCCCCTCCCCCGTCGAAACGCCCAATATTATTTTCGACATTCTATTCCGCTGTCGTTCGATCATCGGGTTCGAGAGGTGAACGAGGGAGAGAGGAAAAGAAAGAGAGGCGCGGGCGAGAACGTCGTTATATATACGGCGGCCGCTAAAAATAGACGGTGAGGTGTCGCGGGAAGACGCGGGGGTGTTATTACAGGCGAGATAGATGGATTCGCAAGCGACCACCGGTCATTCCGGAGTTAACGACTCGTGTGAGAGACGACGTTGATGTTTGTTGCCTCTGAGCGCGCGCGCGCAAGCTCCTTCTATTTTTAGACGGCCCGATCGGCAGCTATACGGGCATCGTCAAGGCCGCGCATTGCGAAACGATTATCGATGTTGGCGCATGTTACTGCAGTCGGTCCCTGGATCCATCTGTGTTCTTTGTATACGATTTTGCGCGCGCGCGCTATTCCGCGATCAGCCCGCATTGGCATTAGACGGGGACACGCGAGAGTTGTGCGTATTTATAGATTGCGCTCTCTCGTATGTACGTACGCGAATGCACATGCTGATGCAACTTTGTGGAGCCACGTGGACGCTCGGTTCTAAGTAAGGATTCGCCTTACCGTCGCATCCAATTAACATCTAAAGTTTGCCTCGGTAAATAACGAATTGAAATGCCGAGGCGGTAAAAATAAACCAGGTGCCCGCACGCAGAGGAGAAACCGAATTGAAATCTATCCCGAGAATAGAAATTATCGAAAAATTGACGTCTAAATAACGGCTCTATCTTTATGTTGAACTAAATCTTATAACAAAAGATGTATCTGTTTATCGTCTTCTGTTTTAAGACAGTGCAATTTTATTTGGTACTTTAGTAGGCTGTTTGAAGAACGCTGTTTTATTATATGTACAATTGATTGCTATTCCTTATATACTGACTATACGTATTGATTATACTAATTGTACGTACGTATCATTTAGCATAATCAATTTTCCCGAAGAATCGATTTTGAACTTGCTCCCGTAGTTTGCTCCTTTAATATTACGTCTATGACGATCTTTGACATTTCTTTCGACCGAACATTCAATTCATTCGGATCTAAGAGACAGGCTGTTGTTAATCGCGAGTTGAAACTTTTATGAATTCTTGAAGAAGTAACTTTTCTCGGTCGGGCGCTTCCTAATGCCTCAAGAATGCTTCCTAATATCTTCCCTTGGGCACATATGCGATCTGCCTGCTCCTCACGTGCGACCAAACGTATCTCGTATAGTGAGCGGCCGAAGCTAGTAATATAATACAGATTCCCATCGCCTTAATAAACATCCGCTTTCGTTCGTCCAAGTTTTGCGAGGATGTCCAGCTTAAAAACTCGATCATGTCCTTTGCCATTTGCGACGTCGTCGATGGTGTGCCGTCGTCATAGTCCACCACTCCTTCGGTTAACATCTACACATGATTATATGTCGTAATACGTCGTGGCGACTATCAAATGATAGGTCGCGCAATTCAAATTTCATCAGTATGAAAGATTAATCGGTAAAATAAACATTAACGATGTTGATTTGAATAATGAAATTGTCTCTTGATAAGCTATAATTCGGCACACTCGTTACCTCATTGACATTTATCTCAAGTTTACCGAGTGAACAATTTGACGGCTGTTTATCTGTAAACTATCCGGTCATTGCTATATTGTCCTTTGTTTCCTTATCTCGCCATTATCCTAGCTTCTCTATCTCTTCAGATGAGAGAAAATTCAATTTTCTCTCTTCTGAAGGGAAGATCAAAAATATATTCTAAGAGATAGAGATTCTCAAGGCTCATTGACGGATACAGGCAGAGTTTTGTTCGCTTAATTTTAAACTAATTCGAATTAATTTTAAACAAATTTACAATAACAAAAAACACCGAAGTATTTACGACTGATTGTTAAAGATCATGTGGAAGAGATAGTGCCTGATATAAGACTTAGATAATATATTTTACTCCAAATCGAGGATTTTATTAGTGAAAAAAACGAGAGGAAATCTCGGATTATCTATATAAAAATACGCGGAGTAATATCTTTGATACTCACTGGCGGCATATTGATTACGTTTCCAGGAAAATAGGCATTAAAATGTTGATGGTCGGCTAAAGTTATGCCCGCTGGCGGCTCCATCCATCCCGTCAGCAAAGAAAATAAGTAATTTCTACCGTTCCACCTAGCAAAGACGATATAGGTCAGGTCTGGTGGATAGGCGCCGAAGTTTACCGCTCGGGCTGCTTCCTCATTTGGATAAGGAGGTGGCAGTAGATCAGACAATTTTCCAGGTCTCATGTAGTAATTTCCTTCTTCGTCGGGTCCATCTCGAATCTACATATTCGGATGCGATGTACACGGAGAGAATTTTCTCTTAAAACTCACCCTGAAAATCATGTAATCGTGGGACAACATCTTGGCATCTTGAAGAACCTTTTCAGAGTTTTTGGAAATTTTCGTACGTTTTACTAGTAAAATGTATACTAAGTATAATTAATAGTAAAATATATGGTAAAAGAGTGAGAACAAGTGTTCATAGGCAAATGGCCCCGTTTCTTTCGCATTCGATTTTGGTCACAAAATAGGTATCGAACGAAAGGTCTCGTGAAGCTGATTACAAATATGTCGGTCTCAGAGTGTATCTATTTAACGTTCCAGAGATATCGAGCTCCAAAGGTTTCATTCCGTTCCAAACAAATGGTTAATATATGTCCAGACGGCTTCATCGCTTACGTCCTGAGAATTTGTGGAGCCCGATATCTATGGAACGTTAACTGGGTACATTCTGAGACCGACATATCTGCGATTATCTTGACAAGACCTTTCGTTTGGCAACTGCTTTGCGATCAAAATCAACCGCGAGAACAATGCGGCTTATCTTGTTCTCATTCTTTCAAAAAAACTCATAAAATTTGAAATGCCATGTGTTGTCCGATGATTACATGATTTTCAGGATAAATTTTAAGAAAAAACTCTCTCCGTGTAATAATACTATTCTGTTTTTGCTATTACACGCTACTTATGCCACTCGATCTCATTGTGTTGTCCCACGATTACGTGATTTTCAAGATAAATTTTAAGAGAAAATTCTTTCCGTGTATTATTCCATGAAGTGCGAACCGAGTAAAAAAGCGGATAAAGTTTTACATTAAAAAATTAAGTATTTCTCAAGAATGATTGCGTATATACTTTAATTTAACTTGAATCGTGATTAGTTATTATTAATGCATAAAACGTCTCTAAAACACTATTAGTGTGTTTGGGGCAAAATTTGGGCAAAAATATCAAGAAATGACAAAACCAATAGATTACATGGTATTTCATTTGTATTATCTTTAAATTACTAGCTTCAATGCTTGCGATAAATAAAAAAAATGTAGTTCGATAAGACATAGCCATTGATTAACTTTATATCGAACAATTTTACACTAATAAACTGATAACATGGTCTCACGATAGCACGTATCATTATAGTATTGCGAAGTAGAAATTGAACATTTGTGACAAGTACAGTTATTTTCTATAAAATTGTGACAGGACAGTCACCATACTTTGTATCAAAGAACCTTTCAATATTATTTCGATGTATGCGGGCTACGAGGATCTTTTTCTACGCGTTGCTCATTATTTTTTCATCATTATTACGGAAAAGAAAATGTTATGACACTTGAGAAATATTTGGTGAATTTCACCGGAGTAACTAAATCATCTCCGAACATCCAACTTCGCAAACACTTGGGCCGTAACGTAACCGGGCAGAAACGTATATTTCGCGCCGCGCGGAGTGGGTAGCTAATCTCATTTTTGCGTCGACGGAGAACGGTCCCGGCGAGAGCCAACTCGTAATTGAATTACGCGTCGTCGAGTACGGATTCGAAGTCAATTACGAGAGCCGCGAGAAAGAGGAGGAAACGAAACGCCTACGGCAAAGGTGGAATCTGCGGCGGTCCGGTCCGGCGCGGGATAAATTCAGGCCTACCGTCTACCTCGTACTCAGCCGCGATGGCCTTGACCTCGTCCCTCGTGTGCGACACGTCGATCAGATCCATGAATCGCACGTAGCGCAAGCTGTGGCACGTGTGACATACGGTTCTGTAGACTTGCCAGCCCCGTCGCACGGCCGAGTGGTCCAGAGATTTCAGGTATCTCTCAAAGTCCCAGGGATAGCTGGGCGGATGCGCGTCGCGCCCCATCGCCTGAACCGATCGGTCCAGGAAATATAACAATGCTCCGCAGGTGGCACCCGCGCCCACCAGCACGCCTAAGCCATGCCTCAGAATTTTCCCCCGCTTCCACTCGACACCGTTGCGCCACGTGTAAACTTCGCCGGGTCGCTGTCGTTGAAAGCCGCGTTTTATTCGTGATGAAAAATAGCTCTTCGTCAAGAACGTAGCCATTTTCTCGGAGACAAGACAGTCGCGGGGAAAACAATCGATGGTACAGCGAGTCACAAACTGTGACTATACGGGGTGTTACGCGTTATATTTGCATAAATCTTCTTTCTCTCGCAACTGTTGAATTTCTATCGTTGAACTGATTTATTTTAAATTAACTGTCAATTCGCGTCTTTGACTCGTATTTATGGTCTTATTTATAGCCTTTCTCGCTAAGGAACTTAATTGATACTAATCTGGAGACGCAAACCAGTTCGATAGAGATAAATCCCAAGAATCTATTCGACCTCACATTGTTTTTTTTTTTTTTAGATTTCTATGTGTAATCACATTTGAAAAACTTATCTAAAACCAGTTTTGAAACACGATTTGATTTAATAAATAGACCGTGAGAATTAATCCGATATTCATCGCGTTATATTTGCAGTCGTGATTAAACTCGAATGCGGTTTGTCTTGAGACACGGCCTGGATTTTATTTCTCACGATTCAATAATTGATTCTTAAAATACTTCACGTACATATGCATGTATGTCAATAATATGATTTATAACATTTGTTACGGCGTATTAATCAAACGTTTTTGATTTATTAAAAATTTATTAAAATTGCAATTCTCTTAAATACATTAAGATCGCACAGTTTCTTTCGTGTTTTAGATAAAACCGAAAGAAGAGGAGTGTTACACGGAAATAATATAATAACAAATAAAGCCAACGGCACACGATACTGTTTTTCCCTATCAATAAGGATGCAGAGTTTTAGACAGGACTCAAGGCTAAATTCTGATTGGCTCTCGTAAGCAACCCGGTAGAAAAAAATAGTATCGTATGCCGTTGGCTTTAATTTATCAAAATAACTCTTAATAAATTTTATTAAAATAAGTTACTGATTCTTTTCAAATGGAGTCGTTAATAAATTAACTAAATTGTCGTTAGTAGAAAGAATTAATTAATTGGTACGTAATAGTTGAAATTTGCTACTAATACATTTACACGCCTATTAATACACTCAAAATAAACTCTCGTGTCAGTTAGTAGCCACGTAACAACATTTTTACTCGAACGGGGCGAACCATGGCGACGCTAACGAGGTTCGTTAAATGTGGCGTAAAATACGTATAACTGCTCATTTATCGAAATGAATATAAAATGAAACGAATAAAATACACGGCGTACACTTCACCTTATAAGATATTAAATATTTTGTGGTAACGAGTCTGACTTGCGTACGACTTTGTGTTTGTTCGGTGGTGTACAGCAGCGCGCTGTCACGTATAATACGCAAGGTCGCCACGTGCCGTGCTGTCATTCGAGCAGTGAGATTCGAGCGGGCAGTTAACGACGCAAGCCGCTCTGTGTGTCATGTTCATCATTATTTTTTTTAACAGCTACAAATACTACAAAATATTTATTGTTATCGTATCTCGCAATTATTAGTAAACAATTATTAATTTGCGCCTGACAATATGTAATTATTATAATTCGTAAACGTATACGACCGCTTATTAAAGCAGATATTTCGAGCAATTTATTGACACCCGTGGATCTTACAAAGTAGCAGAGCGAACGACGTTTCAAACAGAATCTTAGGCAGAAGGCTCTCGTAGAGCACGAGCAAACGCCGATTGTATGCTTATACTATATAAGTGATGGGTGAAAACATGGTTTACTACGACTGTAGTTATCAATTGAATACAATGTGTTTTTTCGGGACAGGAATCGAAACGATAGAAAATAGGGACAGTATTTTGTGACATGTATGGGCAATAATTGTCTTACTTAATGACGCTTGAATTTAGATCTATTCCATTTCCCACGTTTTGCGCTAGTTTAAATTTTGGTTTGAAATCTATCCACCATTCTGGGATTGATCACGCGTAATAATATACGACTCGCTGTGTTCGAGTTATTAAAGTATCGAGAAGTCGTGTTATATCTATTAAGTATTGATTTAATTAATTTACCCCTGCAATGGAAGAAACAATGTGTAGTACATTTATAATATTTGTGAAATATTGATAAAATTTACTGACTGACATACGGTCCTGGTGTTTGTGTAGTATCAGGAAAGGTCGCGCATAGTATTGTCATTTGAATATCGGAACTGAAGGCAAATAGCAGCGCGTGCCGTTTCGTGTGTTTGTTCGTCGTATTTTTCATCGAAACACAAGTCAAACACTAGAAGACGCAAAACGCAATTATTTTCTACGATTAGCTACTACCTGTCTCTGTGATTAATTAATCACTGTCTATACTTATTGGCTATTGATTGATACGAGTATTTTGTGCGATTTATTCTTCTGCTAGACATCGGGATGAGCATTATAATTTATCGTGATTATATACGGACAATAATTTAACGATTTATTTTAAATGTATCTTATAATTATATGGATAATAATTTAACGATATTTCAGTGTGTCTCGTATCGCATCGCATTGATCTTTTTATTCATTTGAATATAATTTGCTCATTACTTTCAATTTAAAAGCGCGAGATAATATTCAATCCAATCGCTGGGTCGAATGATACAAGTTATGAAAAATCGTAATATATTATTTTTTAATAATATATTTTTGAATTTATACGTAAATTCGAGAGACATTGCGCACGCAGTACAGTATTACGTCAGTATATTATCGGTTAATTACATTCATTAATTATTAACTAGAGAGGCTTTATTAATCGTATCATATTGAAATTTTATTAGACTGTCAATATTATTTTCACATTTTTCAATCAAAAACAGATTGTGTACGATCGTACGGTTGAAAATTGGATTGATTGTGAAACGAATACTAAGTTGTAATATATTTAATTAATAAGTTATAATAAATTTAGTCCTGTATTATTTGTCATTTGCGAAAACTTTCTGCCATTTGAGATTTTATTTGTTTTGTTAATTTGCAAAACTCGCGACTGTCGGTATAATATAGTATGTAATAGCAAAATGCGTATGCAATTATTACCAGAAATGTCGCGCAAAGTACATAGAAATTATTTTATTCTAATGATTAATAAACGGGACAAATTAGTAGGAACATTTAATCTTAATAATCTTAATTAATTACTGCCAATTGATTGAATATTTTATATAGGAATTGTTGAGCGCAAGATTTTCAGAAAACGTAATTGAAATAACAAAAATATTTTAACAGTCTTATTTACTTAACTTTTTATCATAAACTTTTATAACACCATATTATAATTATTCAGTTTTTCACTTTATTGCTCGGGTAATAAGAAAAATTAAGATGAAAAAGGAAGAAATATATAAAATTAAACTAGTTCAAGTGGAATATTGATGGTTCTAAAATTTTTACTTAAAGTTTTTAATGGATAATGAAAAATTGATACAAGATACTCGTATACTTTGTTTACACATTTGTGTAACATAAAATAACTGATCTCTAGAATACAGTATGGAATAATCGTTAGTTTAGTTGTGTAACTTTGTTCTCTTCGTTCGAAATACTTCAAAAAATAGAACTTAAGGTATGCGCGTTTGGTTTCTTTATGGTTCTACGATTAAATATTATATGAGCTCGTACGAAAACAAACAACGTTTAGGGATTTTTTCATATCTAACTTTTTCTTATTTTTATCCATGGAATACGTTGGCGCAATTTGGCCGTTAAAATTTAGGACACTTTACAGAAAAAACAAATCAAGTGTATTTCACTGACAGGTTGAACTTTTCAATTAATCTTATAAAGAAGATACGCTGATATTAAATAAATATTTCTAATAATAAATAAGCTAATTTTATTATACTTTTTTTTATTTATTGATAACTTGACTTTATAATACTCGACACATACATTTAATAACGTGAGATAACTTCAATAACTGCTTCACCGTGTATATATAATATTGCGTAGTATTATTCCATAACATTCTTGATGACTGATCTGCATAGCCAGTTTAGATCTAGCGGACCTACTCGTATAGACCTGAGTTCAGTACACTGCGATATACTCATACATTTACAATACATATGTATATACACGCGCATACATTTCTGTAACGCGCAATAATGCAATAAACATTTAAGGCAAGGTAGAAGCAAGATTCTTTAAGCTGATTTAAGAATAATAAAAAGAATAAGACTTTAACATGGTGTTAACATAGAAAAAGCAAGATAGCAAAAGCCGAAGCTAAGTTTTTATTTAAAATTTATGTCCCTTAATTAATACAATAAAAGTGTTTCGTAATATCCACACAATACTTTAACGGCGGCAGGTTTTATAATTTCACAATAGAGATATTTCATCCATTTCTTTTTGCCGATGGTTTTTTTTAATGCAAAGTCGGGCCAACGAATAACCGAATTAGTATAACGAGTTACTGAAACAGAGAAAGAAAGGGGGTTGTGTCTCATATTCCCATCAATTTATGGGGTGCCCGACTACACCCACTATGCGGCCGAATGCATATACTGAGAGAGGATGCTGCAATAATCTATAATTAGAGACATTCGCGTCCCAGTATCGTAAATACCCGGCTTGGCTAACGTTTCGAGAGGCACCCGACTCGAGAGACTCCTACGAGGAAAAAGGAATCGAATCCGCTTCGTGCCGTTTTCGAAAATTCCAGCCTGGGCGGCCGTTTAGGCAAGACGCATTCGATCTTTCCGAATGCATCCAGTAGGGGCGGGACAGACTCGATGTGAAGATACTTGCGGTTCTAATCCAACTTTCGATTCGACTATGAATCTGTTATTAGATAAATTATAATTTGTATAATAGTTTATCAAGTTTTATGTACGCGTACATATATTTCTGATAGTTGTTTTTAATAACTCAACTATATCTTATCGAGATTAGATTCTGTTTCTAAGTGAGATATAATAATTTATTTTTAGAAATACTTGTGAAGATAGAGAGTTCGAATTGAGCTTTCTATATATTTCAGACTCAACTTGCAAGTACACGGGGAGAGAATTTTCTCTTAAAATTTACCCTGAAAATCATGTAATCGTGGGACAACATAGCATTTCGAA